TTAGGTATGTATCTCTTTGAGTTTATCATCCTTGGAGTTTGTTGAGCTTAGATGCGTAGATTCATGGTTTTCTTTAAAATTAAGAAGATTTGGCCATTTTTTTCAAATATTCCTTTGTTTCTTTCTCTCTCTTCTCTCCTTCTGGGACTACCATTATGTGTATGTTGGGACACTTGATAGTGTCTTTGAGGCTCTGTTCATTTTCCTTCATTCTTTTTTCCTTCTGTTCCTTAGGCTGGATGATATCAACTGACCTATGTGCAAGTTCTGATTCTTTCTTCTGTTGGCCCAAATCTACTGTTGAAGCCCTCTACTGAATTTTCATTTCAGTTATGGTACTTTGTAAGAGTGGGGCTCTAAGACAGGTTTTTAATGGACATGTACAGAGCCCTGCACATGCATGTGCCTTCCACATACCCAAGAATAAGCTGGAGCTTTTCAAAGCTCCTCTGAACATCTCATTCCCTATATTTTTATTTTAAGTTTTCTTTTCTTTTTTTTTTTTTGAGACGGAGTCTCGCTCTGTCGCCCAGGCTGGAGTGTAGTGGCACGATCTTGGCTCACTGCAAGCTCCACCTCCTGGGCTCAAGCAATCCTCCTGCCTCAGCCTCCCGAGTAGCTGGGACTACAGGTGCCGCCACCACACCCGGCTAATTTTTTGTATTTTTAGTAGAGATGGGGTTTCACCGTGTTAGCCAGGATGGTCTCGATCTCCTGACCTCATGATCCACCCACCTCGGCCTCCCAGAGTGCTGGGATTACAGGCGTGAGCCACCGCACCCGGCCTATTTTAAGTTTTCAAGTCATCCACTGGTGTTATCACCTCGAGCAGCTTCAATGGTCAACAACTGCTGCTGATTATTTTTGCTAAGCACCCTGAGGACAGGGCTCTTCCTTCTGAGCACGCTGTGCATAGGCCACCTAGAGACAAGCCTTGAGTATGGTACTTTTCCACGGAGCTGCCTCACAAGTCAAATAGTGACAACTCTCTGGGGATGGGCATTTGCAAGCTTCCAACCTGTTCTGCTTCCTCCAGCGGTTGCTAGTTTTCACAAACAAGTACGTGGTTGTGACATTGCTGGGTTGTGTGTGTGTGTGTTTTTTTTTTTTTGCTTGTTTGTTTTTTGAGACAGAGTCTAGCTCTGTTGCCCAGGCTGGAGTGCAGTGGCACAATCTCAGCTCACTGCAACCTCTGCCTCCTGGGTTCAAGCGATTCTTGTGCCTCAGCCTCTGAGTAGCTGGGACTACAGGTATGTACCACCGTGCCTGGCTAATTTTTGTATTTTTAGTAGGGATGGGGTTTCATCATGTTGGCCAGGCTGGTCTCAAACTCCTGGCCTCAAGCAATCCACCTGCCTCGGCCTCCCAAAGTGCTGGGATTACAGGGGTGCACCATGCACGGTTTTTAAAGCTGTTTTTGAAGGCTACCATGGAGCTTGAGAGAGAACATTAAAATGCTACAAATCTCACTGTTCTTATTAATAGCAAGATTCAGATATTTCCTGAATAAACATTTCTTGGGCTGCTGCAAAACTTTTGTTCGTTTCTAGAGTTGTGAAAAGGTCAGTCTTCTCCATTGTTTTTGCTCCTTTATGGAGGAGATCTTCAGAGTTCCTCACTCCACCATTCCAGAAGTGCTTCTTCCACTGGCTTTTTAGAAAGAGTTTCTTGGGGACAGGGCAGATAAAAGGCCCTAGCACAGAAACCGCCAATGCAAGGCTAGCAGCTGTGGAGAGCTGGCAGTGCCTCCATTTGTCTCTGTAGGTTTGTGTAGGCACTGGCCAAGCAGTCTCCTAACTGTGTTCCTCTTTTGTCCGCAAGGCCCTCCTCTCTCCCTTCTCTCCTCCTTCCCATCAATAAGCATTTATGGACCATCTCCTGAGTGGGGGCCTAGCCCAGGCCCTGCCCTGAGGAGCCCATGCTTTGGTGGAGAAGCAGGACAACTCTGCAGACCAGGCCACCGCCCCAGGTGTGGGAAGCGCTGAGATGGAGGGAGGTATCTAGTGCTGTGGGAGCAGGGGAGAGTGACGGACACTCTTGAGGATAGGAGGGTCTGGGAGGACAGAGGATCCTGCCCAAGGCCCTTAGAAAGAAAGGGGACCCCAGAGTGCAGGTGCAGCTCTGGGATTCTCCAGCTAAGAAGCCAGCCAGGGGAAGGTGGGAAATCTGTTCCATTTCAGATAGAGACATAGAAACACTGCAGGACTGTGGAGCTCCTACTCGGAGCTAGGGAGGCCCCTGCCCTGAAGGCAGGCAGGACCACCCTATCTGCAGGTCTACAGCAGCCTCAGGAAGGCACCCCAGCCAGGCACTGCCCTACCTGGCAAAAACAGCCTTTCTCTGTGGGTGCGGTGGCTCATGCCTACAATCCCGGCACTTTGGAAGGCCAAGGCGGGTGGATCACTTGAGGCCAGGAGTTCAAGACCCGCCTGGCCAACATGGTGAAATCCCGCCATCTCTACTAAAAATACAAAAATTAGCCGGGCATGGTGACGCATGCCTGTAATCCAGCTACTCAGGTGGCTGAGGCACGAGAATCACTTGGATCTGGGAAGCAGAGGCTGCTGTGAGCTGAGATTGTGCCACTGCACTCAAGCCTGAGTGACCGAGCGACTCTGTCTCCCCCCCCCCCAAAAAAAAAGCCTTTCTCCGAAGGGACACAGGAAAAAGGCCTCTTTATACAAGGGAAGGCAAAAAGCCAGGATGTGCGCATGCGTGTAACTATCTAGAAAGAAACTCAAGGCCCAGCCAAGCCAATCAGAGAGGCACATCTGTTCTGTGCAGCTCACTGTTTTTGGATAGGCAGACGATCGGGACACCGCATAGGAAAAACAACGAGGGGGTGGGATCCCGCCCACCCCTTGGCCAGCAGCTGGCCTCTGGCAAGGTACTGTACCCCTTGGAGCCTCAGTTTCCTCATCAGCAAGTGGGTATAATAACATATTCTTATCCTGCAGTGCTCTGAGGATCGCACGAGATAAAGGACTTGAAAGAGCCCAGCACAGGGCCAGGGACCCACTGGGTCTGTCTTTCCTTGACTTTGAGGTTGTTTTAAAGTCGAGTCATAAGTTAAATGGAGTTTGAAGTAAGCTAAATAATATCATACTTTGCCCTAAAAAGCGACTCTGTGTTCCTCATCTCCTTCCAAAAATCACGTCAGGAACTTATAATAAAAGGCAATAAAACCTTTTACGAGGGTGAAAATAAGAACGGAGTAATAAAGTGTGTATTTGGCAGGGTGATTACACACAGAAGCTAAAGGAAGCTCCAGCTACTGAACGCAAAACAGGCTTCAGCTTCCAGAAGTCAAGGCAGAAAGAGACATGAAGGGTGCTTCCTGCCGGTGAGCGCTAAGGAGTGTACCTGGAGGGCCTCTGTGTAAGGAACGCGACCCTGCAAACCCAGCGGAACGAGGAGGCAGGAAGCCTGTGCCCAGCTCCAGGGAGAGGAGTCTGAGGCCTGGAGAAAACCTGCCACTGCCTCCTCTTGGGTCCAGTCAGCCTGGGGTCCTCCTGGTGGTGACCTGGCCTGGCTTCGTCCCCACGGCCACCTTGTGACGTTGCTTAGGGGCAGGGCATTCATTCATTCCCTGTTCCCTGCATTTACATGCCTGGGGGCTGCCTCTGCTAAGTGCTAGGCGACACCTCTTGGACAAAACGGTTAGAGGTGTTTTTGGAGGAGATGCTTGAGCTGGGCTTAAAGGACAAAGGGTAATGATCCTGGGGTGGGAGTCCAGGTAGAGGAGATGTTCTGGGTGCAGGAAGACATAAGAGTGAAGGCTCAGAAGCTGGAGGGCCCTGGACATCCACGGTGAGGCTAGAGGTGGGGGCATGGCGTCAGGGGCGATGAGAGCTGTAGGAGGCCACGTCGGTGAGAACAGAGAAGAGGACACGGATCCAAGCCATGGTGGAGAAGGCTTACGGGGACTTGGCGTGGGCAGGGAAGGGATCGAGGATGGAGCCAGGTGTCTACACAGGGAAGCATGTGGCTAGATGCCTCCTCCCTGCGATGGGGAAGCCCAAGGAAGAAAGCTGGGGAAGATGCTGGCTTTAGCAGGGCAATGTCCAACCTTGGGGACCCAGTGGGGAGGATGTGGCTGGAGGCAGGGAGAGGACATGGTCAGCATCACAGGAGTGGGAGACTGTGAGAGAGAGGAGAGGAGAGGGCCAGGGAAGATTCATTCACAGGGCAGGTGGGTCCTGTGAGAATGGCAAAGGAGCCAGGGTCACAGACGAGGTGGGAAGCGTAGCCGAGACACCCGGGACTGCCTGGCCTGGGGGAGTGGCCAAGGGTGGGGGTCAAGAAAGAGAAAGACAGCAAAGCCTCCGGAGTGGCCATCAGAGCTGA